TTTGAAGGATCTCCAAGATCAAGAGATGACTTCCAGCCAACAAGAGGTGACCGTGCTGATATAAAGAAACCAAAGGACAATTTGAGGCCAGAAGGAGAGTTTGAAAGACCTCGGCCAGATGAATATGGTCCTGGTGATAGAGCTGACATAATTAAGCACCCAGATAACCTCAAATTGGAAGGTCATTTCGATCGTCCTGAACCTCAAAAGTATGGCCTTGGAGAGAGGGCTCATGTTAAGAAACCAAAGGACAATCTTCGACCTGAAGGACAGTTTGAAGGATCTCCAAGATCAAGAGATGACTTCCAGCCAACAAGAGGTGACCGTGCTGATATAAAGAAACCAAAGGACAATTTGAGGCCTGAAGGAGAGTTTGAAAGACCTCAGCCAGATGAATATGGGCCTGGTGATAGAGCTGACATAATTAAGCACCCAGATAACCTCAAATTGGAAGGTGATTTCGATCGTCCTCAACCTCAAAAGTATGGCCCTGGAGAGAGGGCTGATGTCAAGATACCGAAGGACAATCTCAGACCAGAAGGAGATTTCGAAGGAACACGAAGATTAATGGATGACTATATGCCGACGAAGGGAGACCGTTCTGATATTAAGAAACCTACCGATAATCTCCACCCAGAAGGACAATTTGAGGGAACACCAAGGTCAAGAGATGATTACCAACCCACTAGAGGTGACCGAGCTGATGTTAGGAGACCACAAGATAATCTCAGACCAGAAGGAGACTTTGAAGGAACACCAAGAACTCGGGATGATTTCAAACCAAAACATGGCGAACGTGCTGAAGTGAGGAAACCAAAAGACAATCTTCGGCCTGAAGGACAGTTTGAAGGAACTCCAAGATCAAGAGAAGACTTCCAGGCAAGAAGAGGTGAAAAAGTTGATATCAAGAAGTATCCTGATAATTTAAGACCGGAAGGTGATTTCAGTGTTGAGAGGAGCAGGGATGATTTTCTTCCAATTAAAGTTGAGCGAACACCTGTGAAGAAGCATGTAGATAACCTAGTTATTGAAGGAGATTTTGTTGACAGCAGGACAAGAGATGATTTTAGAGTTGTTAAGGGAGAACGTTTTGAGGTACAGAAACATGTGGACAATTTAAAACTGGAAGGAAATGTAGATGCTTATCGATCAAGGGATGATTACTCTGGAACAAAAACCGAGAGGGTTGAAATCAAGAGATATGAAGACAACCTCAGAATGGAAGGTGAGTTCATTGATCTGAGGAAAAAAGATAATTACAATGTGTTTGTTGGAGAACGGGCACAGGTGAAGAAATATGCTGATAACTTGAAACCTGAGGGTGAATTTGGTGGGACCAGGACACGAGATGACTTTACTCCCCTAAAAGTAGATCGGCCAAAGCAGATTCGCCATCCAGACAACCTGAAATTGGAAGGTGATTTTGAGTCTCACAGGCCCAGAGATGATTATATGCCATTGAAAGGTGAAAGACCGGAAGTGAAGAAACACCTGGACAATTTGAAACCAGAGGGCGAATTTGGTGGAACCAGGACACGCGATGACTATCAACCTAAAAGAGGAGATAAGCGAACACCAATTAAGCATTCGGACAACTTAAAGATGGAAGGAGAATTTGACCGTCCAAAAGAATTTACACCTGCTAAAGGTGAAAGAGCTGAGATAAAGATACATCCTGATAATCTGAAACTAGAGGGTGAATTTGGTACATTTAGGTCCAGAGATGACTTCACTGCCATGAAAGGTGAAATGTCCAAATCAGTTCGTCATCTAGACAATCTAAAACTTGAAGGTGACTTCAATGACCTACATCCCAAAGATGACTACAAACCTGTAAAAGGAGAGCGATCTGAAGTGAAGAAACATGTGGATAACCTGAGACCCGAAGGAGAATTTGGTGGGCCCCGTTCTCGAGACGATTATCAAGTTGTAAAAAGTAACAGGCCTGAGGTTGTAAAGTATCCTGACAATTTAAAACTTGAAGGTGACTTTATAGATACTCGTGCCAGAGACAAAGATACCATAAGTTGGACAGAGAGAACACAGATTACTAAACATAAAGACAATCTGAAAATGGAAGGCAAATTCCATGTGCAAAGAACACGTGATGATTTCACAGGCTTGAAAGGAGAAAGAGCAGAAGTTGAAGTTCATAAAGATAATTTGAAAGTTGAGGGGGAATTCTCAGAATATCGATCTCGAGATGATTATAAGGCAGTACAAGGGGAACGAACACAATTGATAAAGTATGAAGACAATCTTAAGCTTACTGATGCTAAGTTTGGAGGTAGAAGAACAAGGGATGATTATCAAATTGTACCTATTGAACGGGTTCAACCAAAAAAGCATGCAGACAACCTTAAGACTGAGGGAAATTTTGAAGGTACCCCAAGTTCCAAAGAAGATTTCAAACCAGTTCGAGGAGAACGAGCTGAGATAACAAAGCACGAAGACAATCTCATACTGGAGGGAGTATGGGATGTACATCGATCTCGTGATGATTATACTGCTAAAACAACAGAAAAGGTCAAAATTAGTAAACATGAAGATAATCTGCATATAGAAGGAGAATTTGTCAATATTCGAACCAGAGATGATTACAAACCAGTGAAGGGTGAGCGTCCTGAAATAAAAAAATATCCTGATAATCTAAAACCAGCAGGAGAGTTTGGTGGCCCAAGATCATATGAAGATTTCACTCCCAGTAAAGGAGAAAGGCCATCACCTATTAAACATCCTGATAATTTGAAATTAGAAGGAGACTTTGAAAGACCAGTACATTGTAAGACAGGACTTGGTGACCGTTATGATATGGTAAAACATCCAGATAACCTAAAACCAGAAGGAGACTTTGGTGGCCCCAGAACTCGAGATGATTTTACACAAGGGAAAGGGGAAAGGCCATCACTCATCAAACACCCTGATAACTTGAGATTAGAAGGCGACTTTGAGAGACCTCTACAAGAAACACCTGGTCCTTGTAATCGTGCTAGTATTGTAAAACATCCAGATAATTTAAAACCTGAAGGAGAATTTGGAGGGTACAGAAGCAGGGATGATTTCACTCCTTCCAAAGGAGAACGACCTAAGCAGGTGAAACATCAGGATAATTTGAAACTGGAAGGTGATTTTGAAAGGCCCACTGAAGTTAAACCAGGTCTTGCCGATCGTGCTGACATTATTAAACATCCTGATAATCTAAAGCCTGAAGGGGAATTTGTTGGTCGAAGATCAAGAGATGACTTCCAGCCACAGAGATCAGAAAAACAAACACCCATAAAACCTTCAGACAATCTTAAAGTGGAAGGTGAATTTAGTGATCATCACCCCAAAGATGATTTCAAACCTGTCTATGGTGAAAGACCAGAGATAAAGAGACACAGTGATAATTTAAAGCCTGAAGGCACATTTGAAGATCATAGATCCAGAAATGACTATACTGCAGTCAAAGGACAAAGAGCAGACATAAAGAAACATACAGAAAATCTCAAAGTTGAAGGGAATGTTGTATATACTAGATCCAGGGATGACTACATGGCAACAAGAGGGGAGAAGGCAGAAATCACTAAACATGAAGATAATCTGAAAATTGAGGGAAGATTTGAAGACCTGAGATCCAAGAATGACTATGGCTTGGTGATGAGAGGTGAGAGAATAGAGGTGAAGAAACATGAAGACAATCTGAAAATAGGAGGCACATTTGAAAGCAGGCGATCTCGAGATGATTATAAAATAATGCAAGCAGAGAGAGCAGAATTGAAGAAACATCCTGATAACCTCAAGGTAGAAGGAAGCTTCAATGGCAGTCCTAGGTCTAAAGATGACTACAAACCAGTTAAAGGTGAACGAGCCGAAATTACGAAGCACCAAGATAACCTCAAAGTTGAAGGTGACATCGAGATCCACAGATCTAGAGATGATTACCAGCCAGGTAAAGGGGAGAGGCATGGAATGAAGAAACATCCAGACAATTTGAAAGTTGAAGGTGAATTTCAGGGAAGTCCTAGAACCAAGGAAGACTTTAAACCAGGTAGAGGGGAGAGAGCAAACATCAAGAAACCTCAAGATAATCTAAAAACTGGAGGTGATTTCCAAGGTGTATCATCACAAAAGACACAATTCAAAGAGGTAAAGGGAGAAAAAGCAGAAATTAAGAAACATTCAGATACACTGACTGTAGGAAGTGGAACTATGGAAATCAAGACTACAAGCAAAGATACTTTCCAACAAAAGAGAAAACAGTCTGTACCTGCAGCAGGCAAGTCTACTGGCACTTTCAACAGAAAACAACACATGCAGTCACACATAACTCTTGGAGATGATAGTATCAATATGACAGCCACCAATGAGACAATAAATAATTCCTCAAGCAAGTCAGCACATGAAGACAGGAGCCAGAAACATAGTGGAGATACTACGAAGTCTGTCTCCATAAAAGAAACAAGAACTCTAGATGATGGAACTATAGTGATGGTCACCAAACAGGTGACTAATACCATCACAGGACAAGAGACCAAGGCAACTAAAGCCAAGTCTCTTCAGCAGCAAAGTGTTACCCAGTCTATCAGTGGCACTTCAAGCACAAAACTTACATCAGTTACCCCCCATGAAGCTAAGAAACTGGAAGTTTCTTCAAAACAGGCTGATATTTCTGAGAAAAAATCTGTTTTGAATGAACTCCACACATCATTTGATGCAAAAAGCCAATCCACAAACTCCCAGTCTTCCACTTTTGAAAGGAAGCTCTCAAAGACCCATGCTAACAGTAGTGAATTTAGACAAGCCATCAGTGGCACATCTGACAGCACCATTCAAAGCACAGTCACTGATTCTGGTACAAAATCAGGTAGCCATCACAGGAAAAGTGTTATTACTTCCTCTTCTGCTGATGTTACCAATGCAGTTCTCCATCGAAAAGGCACAACATCCTCAACAGAGGCCCTACATACCATCTCGTCAGCTGCATCAGCTCAAAGGAAAAGCATTTCGAACCTCTGTGAGATGGGTCAGTACATCAGTAACTCTTCACAAAGTCAGGACAGGAAAAGTTTAAGTGCTCTTCACAGGCAAGGTGTCTCCCCTGGAGAAGTACTTCACCAGTCAAACATCCTATCTTCATCAGATCAGCAAAGTCATCAGGGAGCTGTTCGAAGAAGCTCAGCATGGTCATCTTCATCCATTCAACAACAGCAGCAACAACAAGTACGGTCAGAGAGAATTATGAGGAAGGACAATCTCTCCGTTGGTGAGGGAACATTCCATGGACAGAGTGAAGCAAGGGCATATGGTAATTTCCACACAAGCAAAGGCACGACCGAGCGAGTCACTAAGACTCGACATTCCAACACTTCCCATATAATGCTTGGAGATCACTCTTCCTCCCATACGGCTTCGTCTTACAAAAAGGAATTTGCTCCAAGGGTTACAGGACCCTGTCCTGCCTCTCTGCTTGAAACAAAGGAGCCTCCATTTAAACATACAAGAGACACGCCGAAACATCGGTTTTACCTGCCAGTTGTTTCAAACTAGACTGCCAAATAGTTGTCCAGATATACGTATATAGCTGAGGTCCTCCTCTAGACTACCTTTCATACTTGATTTACTATAGCTCTCTGATAAATTTTAGATTGGCATGCATACATGAATGCCAAAGTAAAGGCACTTAATTTTCCTTACAATTAGACTATTAACTTATTATATAGCATCCACTCCATTCTTACATGAGATTAATTTCTTCCTGAAACAGAATCTAACTACTACAACCTGAGAAAATATAATCATTTAGACAGAATCTGAATACTAATGCATTAAACATATCTAATGTGGTTTAATGCATGTAAGAGAATATGCTAGATAATTAAATTAATAAACATTTGTGAATGGCCCAGTTCCTTCAACTGTGTTTAAAAACCCACGGTAAATCTGTGATACAAAGCATACCGTCCTTGTGTTGTATTTGATAAATGCCTTCTCTATTAAAAAGTGTTAAAGATGTTAACTCATATTATTATGTATTTAGCAAACATTTATTAACAAAATGATGAAAGAAATATATTTTAATAACAAATATGAAGTTGGTTGTGGGATAGAATATTAATGATATGCTTATGAAATTTTACACCGCTAGCGATCATTTTGTGGAGTATGTATGCATGCATGTTTGTATGTATGCATGCATATGCGTACATGAGTGTGTGTATGCTTGCAGCTTGAGTGATATATATTTCTACATTTGTAAGGTAAATATGTTCCTGAATCTAGCATGAAGTTTTTTATATGTATATTTTGCTTGGAAAGGTGAACAAATTACACAGATAATTTGGATAAAAACTTTGAGGTTTTCACAGTAGCAAGAATTTGTATTGTGGTCATTTCGGTTATGATGCCATGTATTCTAGTATGAGTTACAGGCCTCTGTAGGAACCTACTGCCTTATTTTTCAGAACAGATGATGTAGGTAACAGGTTCCTACAAAGTTTTTAGGATCACCATCCCTAAGATTACACAGCATCAACCCAGAAAACTACAATACAAATTAACATGTGTTTAACTTTGTTGTATGAAAGAATGACTTATATTTAATGGCAGTTGTGAAATGAAGCTCTTGTAGAAATATATAAGCACAAGTTACATTTATGAAAGCAAGATTGTGTAATTCTTTCAGTGACATTTATAGTATAACTTTTGTTTTACTCACGGTTTATGTATAATTCAATTTTGGTTTTAAAGTTTTGCTTCAGGGGATTTATTTGAGACTCTGCGCTTACTAGACAACTATTTCGTTTCAACCTTTATCGTCCGTATGATGCATCTCACGTGACCCAGCTCGTGGTGCATGGCACTAGCATTCTACCTTTAGGTAAAGCCCATCCACCAGTCCCATAATACAGAGATTCCCTATTCCGATACGATAAAGGTTGAAGTACAATGTCACTACTCAGTTTTGCAAAATTTCAATGAACAGCATGCATTATTAATGTTACACCATTATGTTTGCTTCAGTAGTGCCCAACAGTGTTAAGATTCAATAAAGTAACTTCATGACAGTTTCTCTTCACTTCTCTTTTTCTTTTGTTTTTTCAGCACACCACTCAAAGAATACAGTGTGTCACAAATCTGCTTCATAACACCACATACAACTGCACCTTTCATGTAATTTATCGACTTGTCCTAAAAAACCCAGACACCTTATAACCTAATATTTCAGAACTATGGTGTTCTATGTATCATAGAACAACTACAAGTTCTGTGAGAACTTTCACAGATTAAAAATCCCAAATTAATATTTTTGGTTATAAAGATAAAAGCATTCATACATGCATCATGAATGACACTTCCCTGTAAGATCACAAGCTTACAGGACAAGTGTCCTAAGTTTTTAAATTCTGTCACATTCTAAAATCTAACTCCCTTATACAGTATATCCACTGACAGTGTTTAATGCAAGTGTTACTTCTGGCTCCTGGTAGGAAAACTACATGAATCACTGAAAAGTGCTAACAACAATTGTTTTTATTTTTCATATGACAGTGCAACTGCATTTAACATCATATTAAGTACTGGTTATTGTGTGTGGATATGGTCTGATTTTACATTGAACAGTGTTCATCTGTATGAATCATGAAAAATGGTTCTGCTAAGTGTCAGAGAAAATGTCATCATAACTTCCTGGGACTGCAAGTGGTATTTTCAGTCAGTTCATGATGGCGAAGAAATGTTGTTTCATTTGCATGGACATCTTTCCTCCAAAACAATTAGTACAGTGTGCAATGATTGGTAAACAAATTATTGGACCAATGTTCTAGGCAGAAACAATTAGTTCTGATACGTATGTGAGACTCATATTGACAGAAGTGCAGCTCAGGTTTCAGCATAATTTTGCAACTGTCCGCACTGCATACTACTATATGACTACTGGAAGGGGTGCTGGTGACAATAAGTCAATTAACTTGAACCTGCCCCATTTTACTTGTCTATGGAGTAATATGAATTACAAAGCTTACAGAATAACCCTATATGGAAGAAAAGTCACAGGGAAACATACAAAGAGAAATTTTGGAAGAACTTCTTCAGGTAAATTTCAACTTATTTAAACAGTACAGAGACTGCACTTGTAAAGGGACAAAGTTCTCAGCACATCTTATAATATAGGTAAGTTGATTTTAATGTTTTTATGTAATGATACCTCAGTCACATAGAGAAAAATCTTGTAGCCCTTGGGAGTGAGTCATGCAGTTCCTACAAACAGCCAGGAAGTGACATCTGTGTTTAATTTTGTTAATGGATGCACTTTACAAACCCACATTAGTCGCATATATCATTAAGCAATTCTGAAACATACATTTGCTGTAGCCATATATACCAATAAAAGATTCTCAGTGGCAACATTCAGCTTTCAATAAATTATGACACGTGTTCTAACACATATATGCAGAAGAGAAACTTCCAAGATTAGATGAGACCTGACACCTCCAATAATCAGGTTATCTGTAATTATTTATTTTTCACTAAAATGACTGGAGCCTGCACTTGATATCACTGAACCAGAGTAATAAGATAACAATGCTACATAAGAATATAATCAGTTCCTATCTTATATGTTACTGCCAAGAATAATTACTACCATACCCTCTTAATTAACCTTAAAGACTGTTGTTGATTAATGATAAGTTTGTGACTGTCTTTATCTCCAGGAACACAACCCTCCCCATACTGTGAAGTACTTCAAAGTGAATTACACTATAGTAAGCATAATCAGTAAATCATGACAAAATTGTGTGGATTTAATAAAATTTCTCTGAAGAACACCAGCCTACTTCAATTTCAGTTTTACTCTGCAGATATACACCCAAAAAAAGACAAACTACTTCAGAAACCAGGCAAATAGCAATAGCTTTCAGATTTTAATTCAAAATGTTTTGTAAATTGTTGCATGACAAAAGACCAGACTAATAATTGCTTAGGTGAGCAATTTAAAATGTGACAATTCTGTGTTTGTGTCTACCACATTTCTAGCTCCAGACCTCTAGCTTCACCAGTTGCATACTCATAAGGAACACATCTCCAAATGGAAAGGGGAGAAACCACTGATTCATCAAAACTAACACATGGGAGCTTTCATGACCCATTTACAGTATTATCATTGCCTTGCATGGCTACAGCAATGATATCAACAGCCAAATATCCTTGATTCAATCTACATTGACACATTCCATGACAACCCTTTAGTTCTTCGTGCATCTAAAAACGGTAATTTAATAAAGTGGTACAGAACATCAAAGTGGAGTGGTTTGCTCCCCTACTCCATGTTCAGGTGATCTGAGGTTCAAATCTCAACCATGAGACTGGCTACCCTGACTGAGCTTTTTCGTGGTTTTCCTCAGTCTCTTCAGGCAAATGCCAGGATAATATCTCAAATTAGGCCACAATCGCTTCCGTCCAAATCCTTTCCAATTCATTACTGTCATCATCTCATCTGAGGATATACAGTCTAGATACTCTAAGCATTGTTAAATAGACTATAAATAAATAAAGTGTGTATACCTGTAATTAATGGTGATGGAATACATAGGAAATAGATTAAGATTATATATAGTGGAAATATATAGTGTAGTTCCGCAATAAAGGAATTGTTGGAATGATAGGTTTCTAATATTACTTACACAAACAATGAAAGATAGCAAACACGTTTATTCTAAATAATTTCTTACAACATAAAGACATTAAATGGCCTTAACCAAGATCAAAGAATCCCTACCTTCACCAGAAAAAGCAAAATCTGCCTTCAGCTGTGAACTCAGTCCTGCCAAGTGTGTGAAATACTGTTCTTTTTCCACCTGGACACTGAACTGGTAGAAACCAATCTCTTTAAAGACTCCAATAACCTGAAATAACATAAGTATCTGGTGAAACATCTAATAAAGACAATACAAAGGACAATACTAACCCTTAAATTTCTGGTGAAGAAAAATATTTCAGCTGTGTATGAATCACATCAGTGTTTACAACCTTTTCTACTCTTGCACTAGGTGGCGTATGAACATATGGTGAACAGCTCATGAAACATGTAGTATCATAAAGTTGAGTGTATGTATATGCACAAAATATGTTTATTCCAGTCTTCACTTACATAACTTTCTGGCCATGTTCACACTTTTGTGAAGGTCATATTACTGAAAATGCTTTGTTCATTTGTCAGCACAAATGAAAGGACTTATTAATAGCTGCACATATTTTAATGAAATTTTAAATAAGGAAAGTTTTTCTTGAATTGGTTAACACATTCCAGTTTTGGTTAAAATTTTACAAACATGACAGGCATTTTACATGTTGGTTACCATGGTTATCTTGGCTAGAGATCCAGCCAAATCCTGGCAAACACTACAGAATTATGTTATGCATTACAATTCCTTGAAAAATTTAACAGATCAACCTTTACAGAATATATAACACATTACTCTTTGATCTACCTCCCCATATGTGCGCTGCATGTCCAAAGAAACCATCCCATTTTCCATTATCTCCCACAGATTCAAGTATTCTTATTCTGTTCTCAAACACCCTCACATTCAAAACATATCAAAAATCAATGAATAAAAAGATATCGTTCTATACATAATCTTTATTTGGTGGGGGAGAGGAGGATAATTCGGAACATAAAATTATTCCGAAATGAATGGTAGCATGTATTTCCTATAAAGAATCTGCTCTTAATTTCACCATATTTTCATTTGTACACCCAATGAAAAGGTTTTTGCTATTTACCCTAACACTAGATCTTTATATTGTATTGTGTAAACATTTGCATATACCTCCTGAATAATTTTCTGTTCACTGGCTTCTGGCAAAGCTTGTACATGTATGGTCCCAATGATCATGTCTGATGAGTGTTGCCAAAAATGTGGCTGGCGAATTCCTACTACACCTTCTATGGCAGTTACCTATAAACAAACAAGTGAGTGAGCATACTGTCGTGTATAAAGTTTTGCACAAAAATTGCCATGGTTGCTGGTACATTATACACATGAAGTACAGCTGACTCAATTAATTTTGTCCCTCAATTAAATTACTGGCCCAAAGATGACTGTCTTCTGAGATGTTGTGCCATGTAGTCTGGTAGAAGTTTACTGGAATTTCAGAGGTCCCTGCTGCCTCCATCAACAGGACAATAAGTTTGCCTTGATGATGGAAGCAGCAAGAATGTCTGAAACAGCAGTAAACTTCTACCAGACGACATGGTGCAACATCCCAGAAGAAAGTCATCAATAATACCCCAGAAGTTTTTTAAAGCAAATGGCGGTAAAAAAATGTTACAAATGTTCCGCAGAAATACCTCAAAATAATACCATCTCTCATATGAAGTATGTAAATTTAAGTTTTACTAGACACAGTTATAATTGTATGCAGTGTGATTTTTAAAAATGTCTGTTTAACACATTGTAGCAAATTTCTCTGGATAATTTTAAGCATGCTGGTAAGAGGATTCTGAGCAAAAGAAGCATATTCAAGTCTCAAATTGAGTAGGCTGCTGTAAAGCATTATCAATCTGTCTGCAAAAGCAGGCAGTCATCAATCGAGGGAATATGGTGAAAAATATGTGTTAACATCAGCATAGAGAATAAAATTACGAAATAAATTTTATTACACAGATCATTAATGTATGTATGAAACAACAAAACTCCCAGAACAGAACCTTGGAGAACATTTGACAGCACAGTAAAAGTTGATGGAAAAAAAAAAGTTCAGAAAAACAAACATGGCACAGCCTTTTAGTTGGGTAACTACAAAACCAGTTGACAAGCTGCAGACCAGTAAACAAGCCTTAATATCATCATTACCCTGAAAATAATATAAATCAAATACTACACTGTGCAAATCTCATCTGTATTCAGATCAACTTGCAAAAACACAACAAATGACAGTGTAATATGTAAACACTGCAATGAACAAAGACAAAGAAGTATAAATAAAATCCACCAGAGGTAGGACCTGTCAGGAAACTACTGAACACTTGTTCCATCTAGTGAGACGCTACTCAATTTGCTGTTACAAATTTAAAAACAAGGATAATAATTCATAACTGCAAAATTCTAACTAATACTAGTTAACTTTTGAAAATACAAATATATTTAGAGGAACATTTTTAACCTCAGTTAATCAGTATAATAAGTGAAGCTGTTAAGTAAGATATAAATAAATAACACTAACCTTGCTAAGAGCTGTAGGAAGCTGATTCTGCACTCTCACAGGTGTTCTCAGCAACAAAACAAGTGCTGCATTCTTTAGAAGTGGTAACACACTCACAAATATCAGGACAGCAATAAATATAGAGCATATTGGATCTGCTATGTACCATCCAAAATGTTCAATCAGAATTGATGATATAATAACTCCAACACTACCCAGTGTATCAGCCATGATATGAAGAAAAACACCTGCAAATCAACATACACATGACTGACAAAGTGTGTGAATCCACGTAGTTTTGTGTTCACAGTGCAATTTTGATACATGAAGCAACATTTCTCAATTTTAAGCAGTCATAACACTATACAAAGTGTTTCATAAATATAACATTGAGTATCTGATACGTGTGATTTGTAATAACTGATCATTGTAACTAGATCTACATTACATGTCCTATAAACAAACTCAAAGTACTATACGAGAAGATTAAACAGGAATGTCATGTAAAATTTACATAAAATATTATTATCCACCCATAATACACAACAATTTCACATGTCATCACAGGTGAAT